AAATATATCTGGGCACAGGGTCTTTTCTGAGACTGACACTCAACCAAAATTTTTATTATTAAACCTACAAAACAAAAAGTAGTTTATTATATAATTCAGAGTTTAAAAAAATGTGGTACAGGCTTCTTTTAAGAGAAAATGTGTTATAGATTGCAATATATTTGAGAGTTCTGCTCTTGGCTGTGTGTGCATGCTAGCTGTAGTCATGACTCTTTCATTGATACATACAGTTCTTTTATGACTCATAATAGAGACTTTATCTGTCAGGAATATGATGCTGTCAAATCCCAAGGTAACTTGCTAGGCTTTCTGCTTGTTTTTCTCTGTGAGGAGGGATTGGACTTGCAGTTCTCTGTCTTTCTTGCTGGGTGCAGATACATTGGCTCATATGTAACAACCAAGCTTGCTAAACTTTCCTCAAATGGCAAGTCCACAGTCATGACTTCAAAGCTAAACTTCTCTCAAGTGGCTAGTCCATAGTCATGAGTTCGAAGTCCACCTTCTGCAGATTGGGAACCTTGGAGTCAGCATACTGTCCATTTCCTGTGTATGCTGCCCAGCCTGCAGTGTCATCTTAGAGTGGGTCACTCTCAGGATATACAGGAAGTCAGAATTCTTTGTAATACAAATATTGTTACTGAGGTTGACATTCCTGACAGGTAAACTATAACACTTGCTGAGTATTAACTGTTTCAGATTCCTTTTTGAAGTGGAGTAGGATAAGTCTCCATTTATAAAATCAATGGCCACATTCAGGGTCTACTAGGCCTTATCAATTTGCTTCAGCAATTACACCACATCTGTTACAGAGAGTCCAGCCAGGGCTATACTCTCTGTAAGCTTGCAATAGCTTACATTCATCCTGTGGGAACCATCTAATCTTAGCAAGGGGCAGAGCTGCTGAAGCCAAGGGAGATTTGATGGGAACCACTACCATCTCTTCGCATCCCACCTACACACTGGACATGAGGTGCTACTAGAGAAACTGTCCCAGTAATGTCTCTGATATTTGCATGTAGACTACCCAGCTGTGATAGCTATTTCAGATCTTACTGCACAGAACAGAGATACAGTTGAGGATTACTTAACTGACAAGTGTAACAATTTCAATTATGTGTTTGGAGAGAAGGAGAATGCTCACTGACAGGGTCAGTGTCTCTGATGGTCTACTGGGACCCAGATGTTAGTCAGGCTCCATTTTACCTTTAACATAGGTCCCTACTTTGTGTCTCCAGGTATCAATGTCAATAAAGATCATGTGCCTAATAGTCCTTGAAATGTCTGATTATCCCTATTTCCCTTGTGCACAGTTGCTTGGGTAAATGGCCTTCATTCCCTATGGAGAACCAGGGTAATTATTGTAGTATATGTAGGATATTGCAGAGTTCTACGTAGGAGCATGGTGTCGCTCTTGTTCAGCAGATTTAAACCTGGAAATTGATTCATGGATCACAGAGATGGCTCAGTGGTTAATGGCACTCACCATTGAAACCTGACAACTTGGGTTCAGTTTCCAGGCCCCACATAGCCAAGGAGGAGACTGCCTCCTGCAAGTTACCCTCTGACCTCTGTACATGGGCCCCTCACCTAGCTGCTTTCCAAAAATAAGTATAATAATATTTTAATTGGATCTTGTTTGAGACCAGCCAAAAGACTGCAACTTGCAGTCAGAGTGATTACTCTGTCCCTTTGTTTTTTTCATAATCCATGAACAATATCCCTTGTGGATACCTTACACTTTTTAAAGACTTCATTGACATACCCTACAGTAGGGGACTGGAGAGATGGCCCAGAGGTTAAGAGCCCTGGCTGTTCTTCCTGAGGACCCGGGTTCAATTCCCAACACCAACATGGCAGATAACAACTGTCTGCAAATCTAATACCAGAGGATCTACCACCCTCCCACAAACTTACATGCAGGCAAAACACCAATGCACATAAAATAAAAATGACTTAAACACATAAAATAAAAATGACTTAAAAATTAAAAAAAAATACCCTGCAGTTTCAGATTTTTACTATGGCTGGAGTGAATCTTTATTATCTGAACCACAATAAAAAAAGCTCATCACATTCTTTTTTAGCATAATTTACAGTGTAAACATTCTGTTCTTACTTCATTTTTTGGAAAGAAAGGAAGGAAGGAGGGAAGGAAGGAAGGAACGAAGGAACGAAGGAAGAAGGCAAAATAGGAAAGAAAAATCAAAACAAAACTTTTTATATTTTTATGGTTATGAGATCATATCTTATTTCTTGGTTTCTACCAAAACTCACTCTCCTAACATATGCATGCAGCTATTATCTGAGGGTGAAGACAAACATACTGTATTTGTCTTTTGGTGCCTGGGCTCTCCTACTTAATATAGCTGTCTGTTGATGGCATTGTGGCTTTGTCTGTTTCCTTGCACAGGGATGCATAAACCTCTCCATGGTGGAATATAGAATCCTTTGAGCATAGGTCTAGGAGCTGAATACTGGGTCGTGGTGTCGTCCTTTTTCTTACTAGCTTGATTTTAATTACACTGTCTTTTCTACATTTGTCCCTAAACAAATGTAGAAATGTGTTAATGTTCTAATTATTTACTAATTTCATTAAACAAATCTGTTCATTAAAACTTTTATAGTCATTTCTTGGATTATATGTTAAATATTTAGTTTTCATTAATCAACTGATATAAAATACCATTACTCAAAATACTGTTTCTTACAGATAATTTGTGGTAAAAGCCTTTCTACAGATGGAATGACTCTTAGTACTTTGAAAGAAAATGGCTACAAAGCTGCTTTCATTGGAATAGGTGAGTGGCTTGTTTCTAAATATTTTTTTATGTAACTTTTTGTGATTTTTTTTTTCCTGATAGTATCTGGTAGAATAAATACTTTTAGACATTTTCCTGAGGGAAACTGTATCTTCCATGGATGGGCCCACTGTAATGACTAGACACACATGTATCCTGTGTTTACTTGCATGGTTACACTACTTCATGTGTATCGAAATCAGGCTTTGGTAAGAGCTATTTCTCCTCTAGGCCTCTCTTTGCACTGGGAACACCATAGGTAGGTTGTAAGGTGAAGAATGCCCTCCGTGTGCTGTCAGTCTGGAGGAATGCTGTAGCTTTCTTTTGATGGCAATACCTTTGATTTAATAACGAAATACAAGGTGGCATTATTCCGCAGTCATTTTATGAAGTCTCCAAATCTTTTCAGAAGTACTCATTCAGTGTAAACATTGAATGTAAATGAAAGTAAAATATTGAATTTTCAAACAATTTTCCTCCACTTCTTATTCACTGAGAGACCAGAAACAAATGATTGATTAAATTTCATCCTTGTTTCAAGAAGTTTTCCATATTCCATATTGTACTCTGGAAAATTCTGAGTTGTGAACTGAGCATATTAAATTGTTAGTTTTTCTAGTCAGCCCCACCCTTCTGTGCTTCAGCCCATCTCCTTCGCAGTCGACAATCTGTGAATACCTGAGTATTAAGTCTGCGCAGAGGCAAACTTCCCTTATATCTTTGGGTCATTGCATGTGTGGCAGTGCTCATATGGTATAAAGGTCGAGGCCTCATTGTGTTTGTCAAGTGCAATCACTATTAATGATTCTTTACTCAAGAGATTTTGCTCATTTGAATGACACTAATTACTTTACCTAGAGCACTGGTACCATATCCAAGTTTGTATTTAGATTATTTAGATAAAAATAAATCACAGAGAAGGGAGTAAAGCTGCCATCATCCTGTAGTATCGGACTTCTTTTCAGAACTTGTAAGTACCATTGTCATCAATATTTTTCTATATCGTTTTCATTGACTATTGTGACCAGTCAGTATACTATTACTGGGAAAGGGGGAAGATCTGATATTCTTCCTAGGTTTTCCTTTCAAACAGATTTTTTATTTAGACCTGCTTTTCAACTTCATAGTTTTACTGAAAGTAAAGAGATAGCATAAAGACCTGTAAAGTATAGTCTATGATCCCAGAAATATTGGATCTATAAGAGCTTTTGCTGCTTTCTGCCTCTTTACGGTCACAAATTCTTGGTCCATGACAAGTGGAAGATTTGTAGAAGAATAGTGTCTTTTGATGATATCAAGTAACATTAACATTCACCACTGAGTTTCCCAGGTGTGCTTTCTATCACCAAAAACAAACAAACAAAAAGAAAAAGAAAAGAAGAAAGCCCCATAAAGTGCCTCAGACATAGACGGGCCTCTAAAAATTATTTAAGTTTATTGAAAATAAGTTAACAATTTACCACAATAAAGTCTAGAACATTTTAAAGTGTTAGTGATTTTTATGCATTCCAGAACAAGTAAAACCCATGATGTTTCAATTTCACTTGTCATACGGTTGGTATTACAATCATAACGGAGTGAGCCAGTAGGAAGAGCTGCATTCACAGTGCTGGAATTGCCCTTTCCCACTGTCACATTACTGGCACTCCAGGCTTTATCTGAAATATAATCCAATCTGTAAACTTTTGATGTGACCATGGAGGTGGGTGATTAGCATTTTGTTTTGTTTTGTTTTTGTTTTTTTATTCATAATTTTTTATTGTTTATTATTATTAGTTACATTTTATTAACTCTGTATCCCAGCTGTATCCCGCTCCCTTATTCCCTTCCAATCCTACCCTCCCTTCCTCATCTCCTCCCGCCCCTTTCCAAGTCCACTGGTTGGGGAGGACCTCCTCCCCTTTCATCTGGCCCTGTTTTATCAGGTATCTTCAGGGCTGGCTGCAAAATCCTCCTCCATGGCCTAGCAGAACTGTTCCTCCCTTGGAGCTCAGGAGGTCAAAGAGCCAGTCACTGAGTTCCTGTCAGAGATAGTCCCTGTTCCCCTTACCATGGAAAACCAATTGGTTACTGAACTACCACGGGCTTCGTCCAAGTAAAGGTTCTAAGTTATATCCATACATGGTCCTTCGTTGGAGAAACAGTTTCGGGAAAAACCCCTGTGCCCAGATATATTTGGTCCTTGTGGAAAACCAAGTTAACTTTAAGAAAAGAAAAGAAACAAACAAACAACAAACAAAAAACAGCAACAGCAAACTCCAAAAATTCCAACAGCAAAACAAGTAGCCACTAATCATGGAAAATCAATTTTATAGGAAAGGTAAAAATAAATGAGCAAATGTCATTGTTCAAGATTATAAAGCTTTTCTATTTTTTAATTTATTTTATTTTATTTTATTTTTTTTAATTTTATTTTTCTTTTTAGTTACATTTTGTTAACTCTGTGTCCCAGCTGTATCCCGCTCCCTCATTCCCTCCCCAACCCCACACTCCCTCCCTGGTCTCCTCCCTGCCCCTTTCCAAGTCCACTGATTGGGGAGGACCTCCTCCCCTTTCATTTGACCCTGTTTTATCAGGTATCTTCAGGGCTGGCTGCAAAGTCCTCCTCTGTGGCCTAACCTAGAACCAAGATTGAAAGCCAGCATGTTCTAAGGACACCTGCCTGCACTGTGACATCACACTTAAGGCCGTTGAACATGATATAATCTTGAAAAATTAGATTTCATGCTTAGTTTCACCAATTTGTTACCACCAATTGCGTTATTTTGTTTCATTCAGTTACTAAAAGAGAAGAATATTTTATAATGTGAAGATTACCAAGTATTGCAACAGCCGAGGAAGAGATAATTACAATTAAGAAAATCCATTGAGAAACTGTGGTATTAAATTTGCTGTTCTGTGGCCTTTACTTAACTCTCTTGTGCCTTCTAACAGCCAGAATTCTTCTCTGCAAAAGTTATTCTTAATTAGTTTCTTAATCAGGAATTTCTAAATTGTAGATAATCATGTATGCTTTCTATTTATTTAGAAGAAAATGCAATAAACTTTTAGACCACCCACTTTACTTCTGCCTCCCAGATAAAAACTGGTTAAATACTCAGTATCCACAATTATGAATACATTATTTAAAATAATAAACCTGATTTAATTGTAGGCAAAAGGCATGGATAGGTTGCTGCGAATATTACTTTTTTTTTAATTTGTAATATTGTTTAATCTAGTATCACTTGTAAGTACTCTCATATAATTGTGAGATGGCTCCCAAGAATTTGAAAATGAGGGAAAAGGAATTCCAGCTGAGAGTTCATTAAATCATCTGTTAATGAGTTCATGAAAAGCCCCAGAGGGGATAAAAGAGATGTAGGGCAATTATTCTTTGATCATATTAACATATCTATAGAAAGCACATATTAATCTTCAAAAGCAGGTGGTAGGATGGCCACCTTATGAAAATCGGAGAAAGTAATACAGATTCTCAGAAAACTTTTCATAGTGTTCCTTTAGAAACACTCACATGAGTCAGCCTTGTGTGGTTTAGCCTACATCCTGGGATTGCCAAGGAAGTTAATTATTTTTTCAATTTTTCAGTCGCATTTTTATGCATTTCGTGGGCATGTCTGTACATGTGTGAACACCTGTGAAGGCTAGGTTTTCTGAGGGTCAGAAGGTTCTTTCCACCCTATAAGTATCGAATGTAGATCATCAGGCTTGACTCAAGTGCCCTTACCTGCTCATCTTTGTTGCTGGCTCCAGATAAATTTGTTTTGAAGATGGCAAAATCTCCTTGTAACTGATTCCAAGTTCACACAGTTGGTGTTGATTCTTATATTTTGAGTGTCAGAGTCAAAGATCATGAGTAACCCTTGTCCTCATGATGTTCTTCTCTATTTAGCGCCATTGTGTGTTCTCAAGTGATTGCCTCACACACATTGTCACTCACTTTAGACACTAAAGGTCAGAAGGACTGTCATCGGACTGCGATAGCTTTGTGAATGTAACCTTTTAAAGTTACCATTTGCAGACCTTACCCACTATTTCATATCTAGTCATCTTTCTAAGAGGGTATTTCCCCAGTATTCTGTGTATATACTTTTCTTTACTAAGAAAACCCTTCAATCTCTTTCTTGATGCTAATATCAATACTTCAATAATTTTCCTGTCATGGAAGACATCCTTCGTGAGAGTCTCATGCTGATCCACTCAAGCAAATGTTTTTCCATATTCATACATAATGAAATACTCCATTATATTTATAGAAAGAAATTCAGACTCCATTTTATTACTTTTGGTTACATGTGCTTATCTATTTTCTACTAAAACCTTATCTATTTTCTACTAAAAACTTACGAATAGGGTTTTACTTCATTTTGATACTTAACATTTTCATCATACTCTTCTTACAATGCATCAAAAATAATTTTGAGAGCTGAAATTTTTGAGACAACTTAGAGAAAAAGAAGACGTAAGAATGTTATAATTTCCTGATAAGGTTTGAGATATTACCATTTAACTATTTAAAGTTCACTCATTTTCCTTTTCCTCTCTGTTTTTGTTTCTCTCTTTCTCTCCCCTCCCTCCATTTTCCTCCCTCTCAAATTCAAAGACAAGTTTATTGGATCTGATTTTTATGTAATTGCTTTATCTATTCCTTATCATGGCATCTAGAATTACACTATTATTCTATTTGTTTTTAATATTTGGGGTTAAATTTTAAGGTGGGTTTATGTACTTGTAGAGGTTTAGTTAATCATTCTATTTTACATAAGAAAATTGTTTTAAGAGCTGGTAAATTTGATCAGTGGATAAGGGCAATGTGATAACTTGAGTTTCCTGGGCCCCACATAATGAAAAAAGAAAATAAATTCACACAAACAGTTCTATTACCTACAAACATATGTGCTCCCTTATAAAAAATAAATTTAAAAAATTGAAGTTAAAAGGAAAAACATTTTTATGATATCGGCTTTACTTGTGGGCGGAAACTTTTAAATATTGCCCAT